TCACTTCATCCCCGTCAACTATTTAAATTCAAAAGAGATGGAATCAGGCCTTAATATGATTTCATAGGGTTCCGTACCTCAAAAGCAAAACACAGAATTTAGGATCATTTTGTTGTCCGTCAGTCGGTCCATCCGTCTGTCAAGACCGTTTTTGTCAAGAAAGCGTGGAGATATCAAACTGAAATTCATATCTAATACTCATGTCTACTGTCCCTTGGAGCTGTGAAAAAATCAAACTTCTAAGCCGAAGCAATCAAAAGATACAGCCGTTTATGCCGCAAATTTCCGCAATTTTTCGAAACTCGCACGGGAATCAAAACCTACAGGGTACTTCCCGTGAACTTAGAATCTTGAAATTTGGTACGAAGTAACGTCTTATAATACAGATAAAGGAAAAATTGCGAAAACCGTAAATTTTGAGTTACATATATATGGAAATATTTTTGGAAATTTTAAAGTTACTACCTCTTTTCTCATGAACGCGTAGGGGTAATAAATTAAGTTTATACGGAACCCTCGGTGAGCGATTCCGACTCGCACTTGGCCAGTTTTTTGTTAATTTTATTTTGAAATTTTGGTACTAGTAGACCTACAGGTTTGGTGTAGAAGGGTCATTTGTCGTCTAATGAACAAAACCATGTTTCTAAACCTAAGAGTCTATGCAAACCAAGGCGACCGACGGCGCGTTTAAAAAACGCGGTGTGCATATGATCTTAATCGTCTAAATAGGTGTTTCAGTATAAGGCAAATACGTCATTCAGTATTTATGGTCAGTACAACTTCGGCTTGGTTTTAGCTGGCTGAATAATTGATATCTTTATTAACACAGGAGTTATAAATTTTTGAGATGAAAATGAGTCAAAGTTCGCATAGTGAGACGGCGCGTTTAAAAAACGCGGTGTGCATATGATCTTAATTGTCTAAATAGGTGTTTCAGTATAAGGCAAATACGTCATTCAGTATTTATGGTAATTACAACTTCGGCTTGGTTTTAGCTGGCTGAATAATTGATATCTTTATTAACACAGGAGTTATAAATTTTTGAGATGAAAATGAGTCAAAGTTCGCATAGTGAGACGGCGCGTTTAAAAACCGCGGTGTGCATAATATGATCTTAATCGTCTAAATAGGTGTTTCAGTATAAGGCAAATACGTCATTCAGTATTTATGGTAATTGCAACTTCGGCTTGGTTTTATCTGGCTGAATAATTGATATCTTTATTAACACAGGAGTTATAAATTTTTGAGATGAAAATGAGTCAAAGTTCGCATAGTGAGACGGCGCGTTTAAAAAACGCGGTGTGCATAAGATCTTAATTGTTCAAATAGGTCTTTCAATATAAGGCAAATACGTCATTCAGTATTTATGGTCAGTACAACTTCGGCTTGGTTTTAGCTGGCTGAATAATTGATTGTCGGTTTGCGTAGTTTGGGTTTATTTATATAAATAACTTCATTTTCAGGGCCTGCTGTAGTTTTAAAAGCGTTACCATGTTTGGTAAATTACGAGCACAGGCATTCCCTATGAATAGATTCCAATGCGGATGAGGTGTTAATAAGTCTAATAAATGCAGCTAAGATCTGCCGGTTAATGTGCCTTCTGATATATGGAATATCACTAGATTGTAAAGGACACCCGGCATTTTGTACCAAAATTGTATACTTTTTTAATTTTTTTATCTGTGTTTCATAATTGGGTAACGTAATCTGGCAATATTTGTCATCAGCAGCTAGCTGTCAATGTCAAATGCGTAGGTTTGTCAATATAACCTCTATATGTAGCCGGGTCGTCAAAAGAAATAACGGATAAAAAGGCAATCACAGCAGAGAACATTCACAATCACAGTACGCGGGAGCGGATGCGAAATGCGAATGATTTTTTTGTTTGTATTTTAGGATTGTCAAATTGACATTTGGTTTTTTTTATTTACAAAAAGCAAAGGAATCATGGTTCTTACAGTCACTTGAGTAATATTTTGAAGTAAAATTCTGTCCCTTGAAGATTTAGGGTTTCCATATTAAAAAATATTAATCATTATATAACTTCTTTCCACGATTCACTAAAAATAAAGCAAAAGTAGTTTTATGTAGCAAATAATTTTGGATTTATTTTAAGACCAAATTCAACTGTATACAAGTTTAGCATTTTTTCTATGAAAAGTGCCGGGTCTCCTTTTTGGTCAATCAATTGTCAGATTATTAACGTCAAACTGAATGTCATCGCGCTTTTCGTATTGAATCATATTGACGAATTTTTTTTTAAACACTTATTTATTTATTACATTTTAAGTTGATGAATATAACATAATTATGATGGATAGACATAGAAGATTCGATAGTTGGTAGAGTAGCCCCATTTGGAGCCGCGTCGAGATGCAGCCAGGGAGGTCGAATGGGGTGGAAAGACATTGAGAAGACAGGGAGAGGAGAGGACAGTTTAATAATAATGAGAGGCGAAAGAAGAGGAGAGAAAAGGAAACGCAACAGAAAATAAATAAAAGGTTTAAAGGATGAGAGTAAGAGTGTAAGGGAATAGGTTTAACAATCTTGCATGAAATACAGCCATTGACGAAATACATTCGTTCAAGATTAAGTGTCTCACAGACAGACGAAAATAAAAATAAAGAAAGCTTAACCCGCTAATTGTCAACTTTACGGGAAATCACTCTATCAGGGTTAGTGTTGCCGAACTATCGATATTAAAACTATCGACAGTTTACATCGAAAATCATGTACCCTATCGATAGTATCGATACTATTGATAGTATCGATACTATCGATAAGCCGATCGATTGTCATACGATTGGTTGGCTATCGATAGACTATTGATTAATCATCGATAGTCGACTATCGATCGGCAACACTAATCAGAGTATAATAAATCTTAAACGCATTTATTACTTCCGAGTTCCGTTTATTGCGAAATATTTCCCAGTAATTATGTAGTCATAAAAGAAAATCTCTTGCTAAGTTTCTTGCCAGTTCTTTTGAATACATTAGTGTCCCGACTGAGATTCTTTTAGCGAAACGATTACGTGGGAAGCTTTTCCCATTTCAAAGACTCGTGTACTACAACCTTCATGAACTGTTGATATCAAAGTTTAAAGTGCATCGGTATTTTATTTGATTTCATTTATTTATTCATTATTTTTCATTCCATTTCTATTTCAGATTTAAAAATGGATTGATGTTGATGTTTTTCTAATTGCTATTTAAGACAAAAGCTGTCTTAATATATTTTTAGAAATCATTTACATTTCTGGTGAAATAGGAATATTTTTAATGACTAAGTCTGCTTTTGTCTAGTAAAAGTTTTTTCTAGACAGTTGTCTATTCTTCTCTCTTGGTTCTTTGGTGGGTGACAAATTAACAAAAAGTTTTATTTCATTTTCATTAATTTCTTTGAATTACCACGACGAATTGGAAAGACAATTAATAATATTCAAAATCCATTAGAAAGAATTTTTGACGGTATTAAACAATGGTACCAAAACATGGTGGTGGTGAGCCAAAATGTAAAATGAATACTTAATTAGGTGAGTCGTTAAAGCAATTTCGCAAGCGGACCATTCTTTTTAAGTACTCAATTACTTGCTAAGGCTTAATTATGGATCTTAAAACTCTTTGGCTTTGTGTTTCGCATAATTATCCCTTTTGTCTCTGTTATGGAAAAAACAGAGTGTGCAGCTGCTTTATTTTGTTATTATTTGTAAGATTTACTTGCTTACTTGATAAAATTACAATTCATTTATAAAATACTAGTGGCCCGCCCTCGCTTCGCTTCGGGGTAGAATTGATCAAAATCCTGTCTTAGCGGATGCCTACGTCATAACATCTAACTGCATGCCAAATTTCAGCCCGTTCCGTCCAGTGGTTTGGGCTGTGCGTTGTTAGATCACTATGTCAGTCAGTCACCTTTGAGTTTTATATATATATAGATATATAAAAAAACATTACATGGTGTTTCAATGTAATTTAAGGTATTAAGTTAAACATTATAATATTCTAAAGAAAAATTCCGCTTCTTCAAGATATCGCAGTGGTAAAATTTTCTGGATATTAATAAACCAAATCAAAATCTCGTTTGGTATTAGCAAAAGTTTATTACATACTAGCAACCGCCCGCAACTTCGGCCACGTTAGCTTTTGTTTTCTTTTGATAATCCCACAGAAACCTACATTTTTTTGGGATAAATTTATGTCCCAATCTAGTTTTTAAACTATATGCGTAACAGATTTCATTGAAATCCGTTCAGTAGTTTTTGCGTGATAGCGTAACAAACGTACAAACTTACACATCTATATTTATATTAGTAGGATTGGCTGCACCATCTCTTTGAAGAGAGTTGTCAATTTCATGCTTAGTCCATTCTCTATCGTCCTACTTCAATAATAATCTGACCCCAGTAAAAGGTAGGCCTGCTAAAGCTTTGTTGCCTATTATGTTTGAAAATTATAGATACGTCATACACCCTTCTAATTTAGCAACACGAAAGTCAGGTAATTGCCCGACTTGCATTCAGTCGGGCACGCCCTCTCGCCGCGGCTACACTTTGCTACAACGTGTGAATATTTTACGTTTTTTCTCAGTTTTAAAATAATACACATCATAGAAGGGAACTATTAAAAATATTTAGCAATTTTTATTTTGACGGTTGCTGATATCGTTGACACATAAGGAAGAGGCTAAAGAGCGAGATGTAATCTGCTTTATGAATGAGAGTAAAAGAGACTACTTTAGTGCGCTCTATTGGCAGCTGTTGCCAAGGGAAGTTGGGGCAAGTAGTCCTCTACTTGTGCCATTTTTAAATGCAATAATGTTGGCGTATAACCTGTCTATATATTATACGTCACTGTTTGTAGCCAATATTTTATAATTAAGAAAACTATAATAACAACTGTTGCTGAGAAATGGAACCAGATTATTCTTATCACCTTTTACTGGCGGTTGATTTATTGCAACGGGTCGTATGTCTATTAAGTTTCTACAAATGACTTACCTTAGGCGGCACAATAAGATAGGTTTCCACTTTATGGTCGGCCAGGTAGCCCTCCCTGGAGCCTCCGTCTCCTGGCTCCACTTCGAACCTTCCACCGAGCTGCAGCAGTGTAGCTTTCGTGATATGCACTCGTCTGTGAAATAAACCACGTAAATTATTTATCCAGTTTCCGTTACAAGCGGAGTGTGCTCAATTCAGACAGCATTTAACCTAAATCGATACAACGAGCCATCCGTAAATGGAATGCTTGCCCACTCACGTATTCCCTTCCTCCTTTAACCAGGAATCCTTGAAAAATAGGCGCGAAGAAACAGTATGCAGGCCAGCAAGGTGAGCATGGCTGGTGTGGCAGGAAAAAACTGCTGTACCAGATATCTTCAGGTCTAGACCCCACCGTTTTAACATCAGGTTGGGTGGAAACACTCTCCGGACCTGATTATAAAAAAACTCTGAACCAAGGTGTTAGTATAAGTGATTCCAATTTGGACCTGTTAAAAAAAGCGTGTATGTCTCGAGACCACGGAGCACCCCCACTAGAGTCCGCATACAAGGGCAAGCGCTTACGCCAAGCTTAAGTAGTATATTACCTATGCGTGAGGCACGCCTACAGACGTCGCGATACATCGTTTCATTCGGTAACCTAGCGTTGGTCGAACTGCTTCTCTCGTTTTCGTGTTAAAAAACTGTAAAAAATGCCGTACTGTGCAATTAAATTGTGTGGAAAGTCGAGTACAACTTCCAGTCTTCAAAAAAATGGTATTACTTTTCACTGGTTAGTTTAAATGCATTACAAAAAGACAAAAATACTGTTATATTAAATTGCTGTTAATGTATTTATTTTTTGGTGAACGCGTTGATGTCTTTTTACACTATCCCTTTCTCGCATGGGCTACATCATATATGCTATCTCGCTCTCACACCGGCACGTGTATTGCTAGTGACTCAGACGCAGCTCATGTCTCAACGCGTAAGTTTGTCGATAAGTTTGTCAGCTATGGAAATGGAAAAAATAAATAAAAACTATTTATTTCATCGTATACAATAATAGATGTCATAAGTATACAACCAACAGTTTTTATTTGATTGAAGTCAAACATATCCTAATAAAAATTAAAAAACGCGAAAATTTGTATGCATATTTGTTACTCTTTCACGCTAAAACGGATTTGTATGAAATTAAGTGCGCATAGTTTATGACCTAGATAAAGACATAGAATTAACGATATTAAATACCCTAGATACACCACGACCGCTCAAAATGTGTCCCAATATCTAAATAGTCTGTGGTCCCAATCAAGAAGTGCTTGAACTCCACTCAAGCACTTCTTAGTACACAGTCACACGCGGACCGTTGAAAAGTCAAGATGCCAAAGAGTTCCGTGAAAAAATGCAGAAAAATACTAATAGTACGTAAAGTGTCGTTTTTTCGACGGGTATCTAATTAATGTTTTTTAATTAACGCCTTTAAAGCAAATTTTATTGTTGTAATACTTACTATAAACTGATTTAATTTAAAATATTTGTGATATTCAAATGCATGGTCGGTTATACGTCGCCCTTAGCCATCTCTTTTCTTCGCGGTCTGTACCTGCTATATTGTTAACAGCGCATTCAGAATTGCGCGTGAAAAGTAAAAAAAAATAAGGTCTATATTCTTTCACATATAACACTAAATCGTAAAATTTTACGAACTTGACGCATGCATTTTAATTAAGACCTTATGACGTATGCATTAAAGGTGACTTTCAATGTTTAAATAAGGCATTATATTGTTTTTGACCATGCGATCATCTTACGGACCTCCGTGGATCGTCCAATGTACCTTTTGGACACGTTTCGGTCACGATTTTGTTGGTGTTGTTGTATCTAGGGTAGTTAATATCGTTGCATTAATACTTCTTGTCCTGGACGTGTTTTATTTTTGTGTTGCTTACATATTAAATTATATGTAGTTACTAGTCGCGTCATGTAATAAGAACGCCGTAAGAAAGTGGAGAGGGTATGATTACGCATTTGCGCACCAAAGTACTAGGCCTCTATTCTAAATTGTTTATCGATAGAAAATATCGATATTTTCTAAAATCGATCTTACCCTCATCACTTCGCTGCACTGAGTATATGATCTGACCTTGACGCGTCCAATCACAGCGGGGCTGACCTCCCTGCACCCCACCGACTTTGGCGATTTTGATTCCAAACGAAATTTGTGTGATGCGGACTCTAGTGGGGGTGCTCCATGCTCGAGACGCACGACAGAAGTGACAACTTAAACTAATCTAATCGGCGCTGCGAGTTACAGTGAAAGGGGAGGACCAACTGCTGCCGTATGCCTGAGAGGAAGAGAAGCCAGGCAGACTGGCGCCGTAACGCGTTACGTAACGAAGCGGTTTACCCTAATATAAGAAGTTATCACTTCAAAAACCCTGAAAGAAGGTATTAATACAAGTGATTCCAGTGAAAAAATAGTAAGCTGAGCAGAGTCTCTTAGTTATCACCATAAACAGTTTACCATAAAGTTCCTAATGCTGGAGCAAAGGCATTCCCTATGGATGGAATAGAGAGTATAAGCCATAAGGGCACTTGTTACCAAGACGGTCTTTACCCAGTTTCTCCCGGCGCCGGTGCAGTTAAGATTGTTCACGACACGGTTTGTACGTTTGTACCGACCCCAAACTGTCGCTATCTCCATTAACATTAACAAACCTCCATAAAGTCCCATATCTCACCTACAACCAGAGGTAGACATGGTCTAAAGCCGTCCCTATACCCAGGTCTTTTCTTTTGAGTGTGTATGCTGTTGGCCGTATATGACCTTAGCGAGATCCTAAGGGGACCTCAAGCCGAGAATTGGAGAGTGCCTCTCGAGGTATTCCAGGCGGATGGTATCTCCCCACGGGGGTCTCCTCTTCGTCTGGAGCCTCTAGACCACTCGAACCTGAGGGGGTCGGCTCAACTAGAGGGCGTCTCTGAGACTCGGACCTCGGCTCTAGTTAGCTGTTGTCATGGGGGACGTAAATCCAGGTAGTCTCGTTAACAAGCGCCCTAACTGTCCACACAAGCCCAGTTCGTATGTATGGGTGCTAACAATGGGGAAGTTAGGACCATACATGGTGGAGCTCGAGAAAATAAATAAATGATTGGCCAATGGTCACCCATCCTTTGACAGGTTATTGAAGTTTTTTAACTGACACTCTAATCAGAATGCGCCCGCCGCTCTACCATTGGAACCTTTGCTTTCTTAGTGAATGACGAAATTTATTTCACTCATTTCCCTCCACTCCGTTCGGTTTCTTCCCAGTAATAGCTCTTTCATGAAAATTAGACCTACTCCGCGTAAACTGCACGTTATTGACTAACTAAAATAATTTAAATAATATTCTTTTATTTCGCCAAAAAAGTGTCCATACATTTTATGAAGTTAGTTAGCACATAGTTTTTAATTTATTGAGTAATAGTTATAACATTCTGAGGCTTTAGGGTTCTCTGGCATAGTCACACTGAGCCCTAGCTAGATTATAAAATATCTATGTTAAGGGCAACAATCTCGTTCCCTTGTCCAAACCTATACAGATTTGATAAGAAAAGCACAATTAAACAAGTTTTATTTGCCTAAATTAAATCAATTTATCTCAAGCTTGATTGCATACGATGAAAAACACAAAACTGTACCCAGAGAATGATTGCTATAAAAAACGACGCTATCGTATCAAAAACTCAATCTCATTTGCTTCTATGCAAATTGAAATCAATCGTTAATTGACTACAGCCTAAGTGAACATGAGGTTGGTGAATATTAATTCCTACTTTGACGAATGTGTCTAGAAATGTAGACAGAGGTCACTAGCAGAGGTCGTTTACCGACCAAATTAAACATAAGATAATAAATATAGGGCGTGTGAAAAGCTCAAAATAATGTCTGGTGTTTACGCATAAAGTTAATTAACGTCGGGGAGGAGAAAAAGACGCGTATAACGGATCATATTAGCAAGTGAAGACGCGACTAATCATAATTAGTATCAAAATAATTAATTCAGTTTAGGCTTCGTTAATCTACGGCGGGAGACCTTTTACTGAGAAGAACCGGCAAGAAACTCAGCAAGGGCTATAATTTTTATTATTTTTAAAGCATGTAACTGCTTGATGGTTAAATCTAAAGAAAATATAACTAGGAAAAATTCCACGCGGACCAGGCAGCAGACGGGACTCGAACCCGCACCCTTCGCAATCCGGGCGAATGCACTGACCAATTATGCTACCGCGGCCCTCACGGACCGCGTCGAAATTCTTCTAGCCACTCTTAAGTTGCAAGGCAGCGCCACCTCTTCGCATTATAGGCAACCCACAATGTCAAATGAATACTTTTACAAGAATTAAACATTTGAAAGAAGAAATAGCAATTATAGTTATAATTTTTATTATTTTTAAAGCATGTAACTGCTTGATGTTTAAATCTTTTCTAGTTATATTTTCTTTAGATTCAGCAAGGGCTGTTTTTTAAGGTGAAACTTCTTTTCGGACAGGGTGAAAATGGAAAACTCCTATGGAAAAGATGCAAAATGGTAATAAGTCAAGAGCGTCACACGACTATTGTTAACTGAGTCACTAAGTTGAAAAATGACTTCAGAGACGTTGACTATATTGGAGGTATACGAGTATTTTTACTGTATTTAACTTCCTTAGTTCATGGAGTGTAATCCTGAGACCTAATCATTTAGAAACATCATTGTAACCACAATTAAAGCAAATAAATTTCATTTCATTTCATTTCCAGGAGAATCACAAAGTGCTGAGGGTTTAATTTGGATTAAAAAAAATCGTGAACCGTTTGCAGAGGGTCAGAACGGAGAATAACTCGAGATACATATGCTAAATTTGAAAAAAAAAACGACCAAGTTCTTATTTGTTTCTCCCACTATCTCTGTAACCCTCTTGGGTGACATAGTCAAAATATTTAATAATACATTATAATAGATCATATTTGTGGTGCTATGGTATGTTGACTATGTAAGGTCCGAAAAGGAACTTACTTTAAAACATCACAAATATTATTATTATAATATAATGTGTTATTAATATTTTGACGACCTCCGTTGTGGAGTCAATGCGGCCCAAAAAAGTTCATACATTTGCGGA